AAAAAATAGAACTGGGGTTAGTGGATCAAAATCAAATGTAACACCATGCACCTAACCAGTATATCGAATCGGAAAACAAAATGGTAGAAACGAAATATATTAAAGATGTATTTAACAAAATAGGAACTTCTGATATACCATCAGGTATGAAATAGTGAAAGATCATATATTTACAAGCTGGTAATGATAGGTCCTCCAATCAGAAGGGCTAAGCCTTCTGTGAGCCACGCAACTTCAGCCGCTTCGGCAGCAGCCAACAGAAACGTATCATCCTCCTCCAAGTTGACCAGGGTGGCATCAGCCTGAGCGACGGTGGGTGTCTCACCTGCACCCGCTTTGAGCGCATCCTCCTTGTCCGGACTCGTCTCAGGCGTGGCAGCCACAAGAAGTCGATCCGGTGCGACGGACATGGCCACATTTGATTCCGATGGAGCCTGATCAAATAAATTGGTTACACGACCGCGCTTTGCTGCCGGTTCAATCGATCCCGCCCGTTCCCAATCCAACTCGAACACGGGAGAGTCGTCCTTGTTTTTTGCTCGTGTCTCAATCAGAAGAACGCTATCGACCTCGGCATCTTCAATCAACTCTTGTTCGAAAAAGTCCAAAATAGATTGTTGATCCAGTTGTGTAACCTGGAAAAATGGCAAAAGTAGATCGTGCTTGGGTTTAACAAAATATGATAATGGGTAAAAGAAACTCAAACTGGATCACACCCCCAAACCAAAATTGATCGTTCATTGTTGTTAAACATCCGTGCTATACAAAGTACTTATAGAGACAATAAAATAGGTACACAATAGTCATCTGTGAAAGCAAAAACTCACATTACAAGTCACAAACATTGCCGCCCATTCGACAACAACAAGAAAACAACAGGTCACGGCCTCATGCAAAACGGTACAGAAAACGACAAACAGACCAGGGTGATGCTGTGGGAAAAAGGGCAATGTATACATCTGCAAGACAAGTATACACTGAGCCTGTCCGACAAGGGGCACATCGGATAACGATTAATCACTAGTGCGGTGGGGGAGCAGAGCGGGAGGGGAATGTGAACACACACAACGGTTCCCACAACAGGTGGGTATGATGAGGGAACGAACAGGTATACTGTGGGTGATCCCCTGATAGCAGTTTACTCACGGAAAGTAAGCTGTATCTTTTACACATTGCCGGTTCGCCAAAGACCTCGAAGGTCTTTGTTGACACATGCAGACAAGCACACATACACACACAGGCACCAACACACAAACCAGATGATAGAAAATAGTTCGTCAACAAGCATGCACAACAGTCACATATATACACGCATGCAAGTAGGTGCACATATCACTGCGCGGTGAGTAACAGAAGACATCATGGTGGTTTAGCCTTGGTAAAACTAAAACTAGTTCGTCCACCGAACGCGTCAATGCTGAATGCAAAGCCGGTCGCAGTCCACGGGTATAGATAGACATGAGTATGTGTGTACCGACTGTGGATTAAGGTGACCGCAGTAGCGATAGTACTCCGATTTTAGTAAGACCGTGTGTGGTAATCTTTATTGATATAAAATATACAAAATCGATCCAGGCGACCGCTTAGTATGATTGACTTAAATCACTATATTACATGATGGGAACGGGACAATAAATAGGGCTTATTCCTGTGGATTTTACACAAGGTGTTTCTAAAAATACGAACAATCACTGATAAGTTGGGTTCCATAAACTAATACTAGACTGATACGCGAAAGCCGGCAAAGTAAGCAGGTCAAACGATGGGGTAATTATCGCACAGAATCTGACTGTAAAACCGGCCTGGATGAGCACTGAGTGCATGAAAAGAGTGACCAGTGCAATGGCCACTCATGTCTCAAAAGCCGTACACCAATTCGGTGTTCAAAATTTCAAAATCAAAGAATGCACATTTTATACGAAAACGCCTAACACCAATGTCAGAAGCTATGGTTATCAAGCTGCTGAAATAACCGTTGTAAGAGACTGACCAAAGCACTTCACAGATACCATGGCTTCAAAGATGCGCACGGTCATAATCTCTGTCAGCAATGGTGTTGTCAAAATTTGTCGACAAGAAGGTTGGTGGTGAAAGACTCATGAGCACCGCCCTCTATTTCAACTTTGTACGCTATTATAACTTTCCTTTTGAAGTGCTGAAATCCCTCAACCTAATAGTTTATTTATAATTTTACGGGTCAATCATGTTTTATTCTATGTTGTGCAAAAAATACGTGTACTTTTATGTGCCCGAGGTCGAAGATAAGAAAAATGCGTGATCGCATACACTTGATGGTTTGAATACCAAACGGGAATTTTCCACGAAAAACGATTTATTTCAGATATCACAAAAAAGAATTTAAATCTACAAGAACTAGCATCTCATCCGTAATCGACTATCACTAGGATATCAAAATACGAATCAAACTGGATAAATTTCAAATTTCTATTATGGGATATAAATTACAAAGACTTCGCTTTTACAAATCCCATAGGGTGTTTACAGATTGGTTCGGATGACGATTCACAATATCACAGTTAGTCCATGAAAGTAAACTAGTAAAGTAATGTTTTGACGAGCACAGGAAAATATGTTATGTAGTTTGGTGTTGAAATGTAACGTTTGCCAGAGCATCATCAAGCTGATGCTTGAAAGATACTGATGTTGGGGCACAGACAACGTGAGCTGGTAGAGAGTTCCATGTGTTACACACTCTGACTGCAAACGAGTGACGTCTGCAATCGAGACGACTCTTTTGGTGTGCCAACTTCAGCGAATGCCCTCTGAGATGAACGTTGTGTGATAAAACCAACAGAGATCTACATGGGTGGTTGGGTTGTTGGAAGTTCTTATATTGTGAAGGTTAAGCAGTTCAAATCGTTGTCATTCGTGTGCTCCGAGTTCAAAGGTTTGTGTTTGAAACCATGGCAACGCCACGAACTCTTACGGTAGATAGCTCTGGNGTCATCTGGTTCGACGCTTGTATGTGACTGTTGCAATGCAGAATGCAGCACGGTATGATTAGAACATAATCAATAAAGATCCTAACTTGACGGCCTGAGAGAAGATAGAGAATAAGCTGCCGAATGCCTGAACAAACGGAATTAGAGTTACAATATGTGATAATCAACTTTCTCTCCGCTTTGTTTGATTGCAATGCTCACAGGATGGTACCTCTGGTGGTCCGATAAAAGCACGAACACTACCATGACTGCATTCTGAAATTACGAGCACGTGTATGGACAAGATTTAAAAGAACTCAATGGACAGCTCTAG